TCCACGTACATCCATAGTTGGGAGTTTCTCTTCTAATAATGATCTTCTTTTAATTTACAAAAGTATTAAATTGATGTAATTTGGACTACACGATTATACAAATTGTGTTTTCTATTTTAAATTTGGGCTTTCATATTATATTAAGTAATAATAAATAAAAAAGTTGCGATGTTCTGTGTGTGGAATGAACTTGCTTAACTTGAGTGTTTTTCTTGCTATGAAGTTAATGAATAATAGTCATACAATTGTTTTAATATTTTTTAATTAATTTATAACAAGGCATACCTTTCCAGAAATTTTTTGAATGGTTTGCCTTTAAGCTGACCAAAGATTTCTTCCATGTAAGGCTGCAATGAATATTAATTACGGATTATTTAAAATTGGAAAATTTTATGTTTTTTTTATGTTTAATTTCTAGGAATAAGAATAAATCAACCAGAAAAAAAAAAAATCATACATTCGTTAAATTTAATTCAAAGAAATTCTGAACAGCATACATAATAGCAACCAAAATAAGTTGAAGTGAATTGTAAATAGTTTTTATTATGTTTTCTATGGAATGATCAAAATGATTATAATATACCCCGAACGCTAAGCGAATACTTACTTCAAATAAATTCACAGGAACTTCATTTTTTAATATATACTTTTGGACATTTGCAACGGCATCTTTGGAGTATTCCTATTCAAAATATAAGAGAACATATAACTTCAGATTTCATCATGCCTGGAATACTTACATAAGTATGCGCCAGCATTTCTTCCATTATAAAATTATCATAAATTTCTCTGGCCAGCTTTTTTCGCTCGTCGAAACATTCTGTTTTCTCAAAATTTTTAATCTTTAAAGAAAAGTATATCAATAAATAAATATTGCATATATTTGCAGTTTTTTAATAGTAATACCTGCTCATAGAACTTCAACTGTTGAATTGGTTCTTCAGAATCATTCTCACAGAAATCTTTAAACAACAAGTATCCTAGGATAAATTACAATAATAATTGATTATTACCGGCCAGATTGTGATCTCTTAAGATTATTATAAGTACCTATAATCTGATTAAAAATGCTGTGAAAGTTGAGTTGATTTTCCTTTTCAAGGTATTTGTACATAACGCTTCTAACGCTGTAAAGAAGATTTATACAGTTTAAATACAGCGCTATGTAGAAATATAGAAATTATAGGGGATATGTTTGATATTCGAAGGATACACTCCAATATATATATTTATCATTTAATGAAGTAATAGTGGGTATATAATATATAGTTTATGTACAATCTCTGTGTATTTTAATTTAGATCTTCAGTTTGGTCTGTACAAAGGAAGGAATTCTTCCATTTCCCTACAACATTTATAATAAATTTATTGAATTTTTATATTTTCACAAACTAATTTGCCAACATCCTCAATCAACGCTTCACTACCACATTGTGTTTGAAATAATAAATGCTTTTTAAAGATAACTTTTATATGTTCCATTTGGTTTGATCTAATTCACTGTAGCGATATAAAATGTTTATAAATGTATTTTGTTTACAGAATTCAAATCGGTTGTTTTATTCCCAATAATATCATTTTCTTAACTGTATTGTTATAGTGCATAGGCAAAAAAATGTTGCTGACGCTATTGCTATTTCTAGTTAACCCGCATACTGGACTAATACTTGACTTTCAAACGGAATGCAAATCTCAACAAATACCATTAACGAAGGCCTTGTGTTGCCAGCAGCTTATAATTTATACTTAACTTAAATTATCATAGTTTATATAAATAATACTAAAATACAGAAAAGTGTATGGATATGAAATGAAAAAACCAATTAATTACATCTACATCTGTTCATATAGATCAGTTTGATAACAGATCCGCATCCCAGCTTCCAGCCGTCGAGCCGTCATTTAGGAATAATTGTAGACTTTTTGGGAAAGTAAATGAAAGCGTTTATCGATACAAAATGCAGTGATTTTTGCATGCACTCGTGTAATAATATCCTGTCTGTATAACTTTGCGAAAACTAAAAAAAATATCAAAAAGTGGGGAAAAATCATATTTAAATATAGAAACAAAAAGGAAACATGATAGATTAACTACAAATCAACTACTTTTATAATCTATTCAAGGGAATGTTTCTATTTACTTATTATTAGCGGGAAAACTGACATTTGCTAAAGGCATAACATTCAAACAAGCATCAACAGTTAACATAAATAAATAATGCCATGCGACTGTTAACTTCTTCTTCGTAGTTCAAGCGCTTCTAGCTTGACTTCAAATTTGATTGATATTCACTCTAGCTCTACTTATAGACTCACTTCTCATTTCTAAACTTGTATAGCTTGTGGTTTTGGTATTGCTTATATTTGTACTAATATTGATTAGCTTAAGCTAGTCATCGGATAATTCATATAATTCATTTATTTTATTCCCATTTTATTCACTGGGTTTTTGCATAATACTTATATAGTTCTCTGAATCCCAATTTTATTAATAAGCACACATTCAATCAAATGTGAGTGTGAGTGACCTATTAAACGCATTCAAGACTTCCACATTGGGTTGACATTCCAAATTGGTTGTAAAAAAGTCTATTTTTAAATTGAATGGCTTTGCTTCTGCATTCACTTATTGTAGAAGCTTTCGTAATTACTGGCTTAATCAAGCGCTTTGTGTTATATCCCAACTTTCTGCCGTTATCATTCAACTGTTTATTTATCTAAATTTATACATTCATATGTTTCGCAGTCCGGACTTTAATCATTTGCTGTTAAATTATTTATAATAGTCGCTCAGTAGATTACACTTAATGCATATAGGTATTACTGAATAGATAAGCTGACCATTCTGAACATGAATCATTGGCAAAAGTTTCCAGTAAAATAGTTCACTTCATAAAGGGAAAACCAAATAAAAGGGGTGCCAACCGAAGGGTTTATAGACATTATAAGATGATTATCAATATCGTAAGTAAAACATTTGCCTTTAATTAGCATTAGAAGATGATTATCAATTATCATTAGTAAATGATTTCCTTTTAATTGTTAGGGCAATTAAATGAGTTTTGTGTTTATCATTGAGCGTGTTAATAAGATCCCCATGGAGCTTCAATCGAACCTATAAAATCTATATACAATATAACATCGGCGTAAGCAGTAAAAATCGCAAATTAAAGTAGTCTGTAATAAAAAGTTGTTTTTTTTTCATATGATATATATGTAGATATACACAAAAGTTCAGTAAACTCATTATGAATGGAATTAAAAGAAGCCGGAAGTTAATAAAATTGAGAATAGTAAATTATATTTATCAAAGCAAAATATCAGATCAGACGATTGACAGTGGGCTGTATTCCCATTTGACTAAATGGTCAGGACACCTGCCAGGACATCAGAGTTTCTATAGGATTTGTTGTTGTTGTTGATTTCTGATAAAAAACAAACCATTTTGTTGCTATTTCCAATTGTGCATTTGCATATCTAACTGACTTTATGGCTACAGTGTTTAATTAAATTAATTAAAATAAAAATTCCAGTACATGTCTGTATATAAGTTGAATAATATCTATATATAGAATGTTTTTTCTTTTCTTTCTTATATGTATTCACATTTGTTTTGTTTTGTGTTTTTTCTACTGCTATATATGTCTACTTATACAATTATATTTCGTGGCCAGACTATTGATTGAATTCTTTTCAAAAAATCAAATCATTTCAAATGTGTATATACAATTTGAAAACATACAAATGTACACATTTACACATAAACATATGTAAACAAAATAGCCCTTTTATGTATACTCATGTGTGTATACCTACATACATATATAAATATATATATATATATTTATATACATGGACATATACATATTTATATATGTATGTATATATATTTATATGTATATGTGTGTACTTCTTTTTGAAGGTGTATATGCTGATTGATTTAGTATTAATTTTAATTTTCTAACCATCTAGTAGTACAATAATATTTCTAATTATGTTTACCCTAATGGGTATGTATATATTTACACACATTAACACATTTTATCACACACACGCATACACACACTTCTACACTTATTGACATATATATGTATCCCTATTTGAATAAATACATTTAAGTGAATACCTGGGATCTGGTAGAATCAACTTTTTACTGGCTCTTGCTGCTGGCGTGCATTTTGATTTTTCCATTGCCATTAAATAGCTGACATCAGCTAAAACAGCCTCTAAATCTGCCATTTCGGTAGTTTTGTACAATATGTGTTGTGTTTACGTTTTTAACACGTTTGGTTTAGTGAATTGATGAACTTTATGGCACAAATATGAGTTTTTCAATCGTGTAAGCACCAAGGATATATATATATATCACTTAATATTTTATTGTTATTTCGCAAATGATTGTTAGCAAATTAAATTAAATTTAGCTGCCCGAGCTTAATAATATATATCTTGTTTTGAACACGACTTTGCAAATGCCGTTTACTCATGCGTATACTGTAAAGGTATTTTAGCATATTCGTTACTTTCTGCGAATACTTTGTAAAAATAATTGTATCGTTACAATCATGCAATAAATGAAATTCAACAGCATTATTATCACATCATACTCAACTTCAAGTTAAATGTATATTTTATTGAAAATGTTTTAAATTTAATTGTTAAATATCGTATCCAGCTTGGAATAAAAATCATAATTTGGGTAAACTAATTTTATTCGATTGTTAACTCTATACATGACCTTTCTTGATTGTATTAGAATAATACAACTTTTGCTTTTTTCTTTTAAAATGATATAGTTATAAAAAATATGTAAAGTACAAATGAAAACTTTGTAGAGTTTTTAATATGCTCTAATATTAGTAACTAATATTCTTACTAATATGCCAATTTTTTATTTATGTGGGAATTATTTATATTTTATTGTTAATGTAACTAATAAATACTTAGACAAACAAAGTTGAGAATTCAACCAGACGTTCAAGAACTAGTTCATGTTCTCAAAAGAGTTAGTCGAGCAATGTTTTCATTCTCGCAAAGAGTGAATTTCGTTGCGGCACAAGTATAAATAGGAGGATTAATTATGGATCGAAATAAAACAAATGCCCCGAATAGGGGCCAAAAGAAAGTATTGCTGGGTGCCGAACTCTTTGCTCTCGGTACCAAAAGTGGCCGCGATGATTCTAAAGGAAAAATATTACCAATAAAAGGAATGCCGGGCTCCAGCGGCAGCTCGACGGATAGAAAGAGAGAAGCTTCAACGAGTCTCGGAAGTCATCCTAGTAAGAGATTTCGAGTTAGCCTTAAAGACGGATGCCCCGACCTGGCCACCACAACAGGAATTCCACACTACGAAATATGGGAACAAATCGCCGAGGACTGTGATTTGTCTAATGTCATAGAAACCATATATGCAGCAATTGAGCAAAATGACAATGAGCTCGTGGTACGCCTTATTTGTGGAATCATCAGGCACGCGACATCGAGAGATGCATCCAGATCCAAAGTGGACAACGTAGCGTACTTAACCTTGTTCTACCTGGCCAAAGTGCATCCTCAGTTCTTCAATAACGATGTCATTGCCTATGCACTTCTGTCCTTTCTGCGTCGTGAGACTAATGTTAAAATGCGCTATAATATTAACCTTCACGTCCTCTTTACAAACCTACTTACAAGAGGATTTTCGGATATATCCCAGTGGCCAGAAGTATTGCTGCGTACGTACGTGGATGATGCTGTCAATGAGCGATTTTGGGCAGACAACGATTACTGCGCGCCGCTGGTTAAAAATATTTGTGCCGCTTTCAAAACGCGAACTCCTCACTTGAGTCTGCTGCGCTGGGACGTGAACACGACTGTAGCAAGTGGGCAATCGCATCGAGATAACTTCACTGTAGACGATGATTCGGGTGACAACTCAACTCAGAGTCTGGACGCTAGTCCATATTTGGAGGCAGATCAAGCAGCCGATGCCATTTGCTCCGTTAAGTCCAGATTTGCAGACAGTCTTGTGCAAAAATTAGTGAGCGATGCGATTCGAGATCAGCTAAATAAGCGCCAGCAACAGGATAATTATACAAGGAACTTTCTGAAATTTCTTTGCACCACTTCGGGCATTGGAGAAGTGCGCTGCCTCAGCATCTCTCGTCTGGAATTGTGGATACATAATGGAAAGCTTGTCAAATTCGCTCAGCAACTATTATCATATATATGTTTCAATATCAAAGGCAAAAATACCCAGGACAACGAAGTGCTACAAGTGTTGGTCAAAATGCGACTAAAAACCAAACCACTTATCAATCATTATATGTCATGTCTCAAGGAAATGATACACCTGCAGCCAGATATCTTGAGCACAATCATGAAGCTTGTCGTGCAGAATGAACTCTCAAATACAAGAAATCCAAATAACATGGGAATGCTTGGTAAGTAAATGTTGAAATAATGTTAAAAATCTGCTTAAATTATATATTTAATTAAATGATTTTAATTAAATATTTATTTATTTAATTTAACTATTAAACCAATTTTTAAGCATTTTTTTTTTTTTTAATTTTGTTTCTACCTTAATAAATTAATTATAAACTTAAAATCCCTTTACAGCGACGATGTTTCAGACATCACCAGATCAGTCGGCAGTTACCCTAGCTGAAATATATCAGGAATTTCTACTGCAACGCGATGATTGTTTGAGGACTCTGCGCGTTTTTCTACGGGAACTTGTGCGAATGCTACGCTTCGATGTGAACCTTGTGAAGTTTTGTAAAACCTTTTTAAGTGAACGAGAGGAGTTGACTCAACAAATTGAGCAATTTGATTTCAAGGAGAGGATATTTCATTCTGTGGTCGACATTGTTTGCCTTTGCATGTTTCTGTCGGCCACGCCACAGGCGCGCGAAGGAAGCTTATCGCTGAAAACGAATCGTGATGTGAAAAATAATCAAGCGCTAATTCGACTCTACAATCAGATGTCACAAATACAATTGGATTCAGTTTCCTGGATGTACGAGACCGTGCCAAATCTTTATAAAATCCAGGCTGCAGAATATCACCAGGCTTTGCATAAGTTGCTCTTGCTTGACAATCCGGAGCAGTATTCGCGCTGTGACCAGTGGCCATCGGAGCCGGAGCGGGGAGCCATATTGAGAATAATATCGGAAACTCCCATTCATGAAGAGACTTTGCTAAGAATTATATTGATAGGCATAACAAAGGATATTCCATTCTCCATTGCAAACACATTTGACATTTTACTGCTGGTGATAAAGCGGGTCTCCGGAATGAAAGCCACCGATTTCCCAGCAGTTCAAGCGAATAAATTCGACATCATTGACTTCCTGTTTAGCATGTCGGAATATCATCACCCGGAAAATATTCAGTTGCCGGAGGACTACGAGCCCCCAAAGCTGGCGATCATTGCGTTTTATTGGAAAGCCTGGCTAATATTATTAATGATTTCTGCCCACAATCCGTCAACATTTGGAGCATTTTGCTGGGATCACTACCCCACGATGAAACTCCTAATAGAAATATGTATAACCAATCAATTTAACAGTTTTGTTTCGAACAAGGATGAATTGCAGGTAAGCAATGTGAAATTATTAATGAATTCAAATTTTCTACAAGTTTTCGTCATTTGCTTTCAGATAATTACTGTTGAAAGGGATCATATTCTTCAATTCGAAACGTATTTGGCGGCGCAAACATCTCCACATGCTGTAATCACTGAGGAAAATGCAATTTTGATTACCCAGCTAATGCTAATGGATCCAATGGGAACGCCAAGAAAAGTACCAAATTTAGTTTTAGAGCAACTTAAGTTTCTTAACCAAACGTACAAATTAGGGCATTTGTTTTGTCGTTGTCGAAAGCCCGACTTGCTTCTAGATATCATACAAAGGCAAGGCACAACTCAATCAATGCCTTGGCTATCGGACTTGGTTCAGAACAGCGAAGGCGACTTTAGCCATCTGCCTGTTCAGTGTCTTTGTGAGTTTTTGCTATTCAATGCGCACAGCATTAACGAAGAGAACAGCCGCGATAAGGAGCTGGTTGACTTTATTAGAAATCTAATAATGGACTCCACCTACGACAATCACGTTGTTTGTGAAGTGTTAGATTATATATTTAGGCGCCTGTCCTCAACAGTAAAACAGTCTAGAGTTGCGGCTTTATCTGGCTTGAAAATCATATTCAAAAACTCTGGCAAATATGAAAACGAATGGCTATTGAAATCAATTCAACAAATTCCACATTTCTTGGAGGCCAAAATGTACATTATTCCCCAACTGCGAGCAGCATGTCAAGTCGAAAATTGCCCAGAGCTTATTATGGCGTATATTCAATTTATAACGAAGCATACACTTAATGATCCTGTTAATGAAATGCTGGATCATGTTATAGATATGGCACAATTAATTGTGGAACGTAATACGATGTTTCAACATATTATAATTTCGCAAGAGGACTACAATCTTAACCCGGATGAGAACCGAATTCAGACATTGAAGTGCTTGTTCGTAATGTTCAACAATTACATTATCAAATTGAGAGAGTTCCATGAGCCCTATGAATGGACAGAATATCCAGATTTATTGATGGTTCAGTTTGAAGACGGTGTGCAACTGCCGCTCCATATAAACATAATTCATGCATTCATTATTCTCCTAACATATTCGAGCAGCAATATGCCCGAGTCCATACCAATTCTCGATTATTGGTTTCCTCCGGGTCGACCAGCGCCGGTAGCTTTCCTGCCAACAATGCCCCAAGAACAAATTCAGCTGTTACCGGATTGGCTGAAACTCAAGATGATTCGATCATCAGTCGATCGTCTGATTGAAGCAGCTTTGAATGATCTGACACCGGATCAAATAGTGTTGTTCGTTCAAAATTTCGGCACGCCTGTAAACTCAATGTCCAAGCTATTGGCAATGCTCGACACTGCGGTATTAGAACAGTTTGATTTGGTTAAAAACGCTATACTTAACAAAGCCTATTTGGCGCAGCTGATTGAAATCCAACAAGCCCGAGGAGCTAAAAATGGGCATTATACTGTACAGGCACTGGATTTGCATTCCCATTCTCAAACAGTTCCCGATTTACCAAAAATTAATGCGTACACTCAGGAAGTCTTTCATCTAACCAAATTCGATCCAGACTCTGTTCAAAACGTCAGTAACAGGGATTCCGAAAAGGAAACCGTACAAATTCTACTTAAGAGTCCGAATCAGAATATGATTACGACAAACAACTATCGCAATTTAATTCATAATTTATTGGATCTTGTAGTTTCTCCAATGTCAAATAATGCAGAATTCTTAACCTCAATATGCGAGGTTGTCAATGCGTCATTGTTGGACTATACACGTGCCGACACAATCAATATTAACACAAGCCGTGGTGCCTCGACTTTGCTAAGAGCATATTTCAGCTGTAAGTTGCCCAATGATAATTATCTCGTTATTGAAAAGAAACTAAAACAAACCATTCGAATGTCAAGTCAGATAGGCTCAGCTTCGAAACAGGTTTTCAAAACAGAACTATTCTTAGAAAGCCTATTATTTATGCTGAAGAGTTCGTATCAATTATACTTTATAAAACGTAAATCGCAAAGTTCTCTCCAAGCGACAAAGAAAATAGTCCGAGAAATGATTGAAGACTTTGAAAATCTTAGCAATGATAAAACTATTAGCGACAAAGTCAATTATAATATTTTCAACAATGGATTATTCATAGATTGGCTTGCCGAGGCAGATCCTGAAATAGTATGCACAAAACTGTTGAAGGAAAGTTTTCTATTTTCCAATTCCTGTAGGGAGTTTAGATTTTTCCTTTTATCGCTTATCAATCATCAAACCAATTGGAGTACCATCGAAAGAATTGCGAAGTGTCTATTTAAGGATTATAAACTTGACTACGATTTCAGTACCGTGCTAAACTATTTTGAAGCTCTGACTACAAATCCGAATCTGTGGAAAGGCAGAGATAAGTATATGTCGAAAAATGTGCTACCAAATTCATTCTTTAAGTTAGAGCCTTCCGAGCTAGAGGCCTTCGTACACTTTATTTTATACGAAGGCATCTCAGAGGTTAAGAATGACACAAATGGAAACTATGACTTTAAATTGTGCTCGCGAATGAATCTTTTATTCAAGCTGACGGAAAAAAACAAAAATCTAATGGTGAAAGTAATAGAGTACGTGGAGAAGAGTCAAATTACGGATCTATTGAAAAACAAAATCTTGCAACAGCTTTACATTATGTATCCACGTATCAAGTTTATTAAGAACTGCAGCGCAGATGTGCAAAACAATAAACTGCAGAGCTTAAAGGGCTGTCAAGCTGACAAAATAGCAAATAATTTGATAACGTGCTTGGGAAGTTTGGTAGCCAAGAAGGACTTTGAAACATTATCAGCTGATACCGAATTGCTGCTGCGAAAGTTGGCTGCGTCGCATCCTCTTCTGTTCCTTCGCCATTTGGGCGTATTATCTTCCGTTATGCAAGGCAGGGGACAGAATAGCATGAAAGCATTGCGTGAAGAATATCATTTCCATCGTTTCGTGCAGATATTACGAACTCTGGAACTGCTGCAGCCAATGATTTTCGAAGATGCCTATAAAAATGAGATTCAAAGAACCCTCTCGTGCTATTTCATATTCTTTAAGCATCACAGCTCAGTAAAGGAGGCATGCCAAATGCTTGTGAAATTTGTGCAAATATTACAATCATATATCAATGTTAATCCTTCAACTGCATTGCAATTTATTGAGCAATATGTCGGAATTTTGACAGAATTGGCAGCCAGATACACGTCTATCGGAAAGCTGCAAGCTCTTGTGCAAGCTGTTGCTCTACTTCAGCACAAAACGAATACATGCATAGAATTGGATGACGAGGAAGTGAAGGTGGAATATGAACTAGATGGACATTCTGAAACAAAACCAACTACAAATAAAAATTTTGCCAATGAAATTGATTCCTTTGAGGGCACCAGTAACGCCCAGGATGTCTGCAGAAGCTCATTTTCAGCCATGACTCTTGGGTCCTACAGCAAGACGAATTTCACTGATGTTTCTCCACATATTTTGGACCTAATCAAAATCATTAAGCAATCTAATATTGAAGAAGTGATACTAGGTCCTCTGCAGGAAATGGAATGTCTGACTTCGAAGCGATTTGTGTTTATCAATGAGTTGTTTGAGCGTCTCTTGGAGCTAATATTTTCGCCCAGCGCTCAGATACGATCCATTGCCTTTATTATATTGATAAGACATTTGAAGCACAACCCAGGAAACTCCGATATCAATCAGTGTACTTTGAACGCCTATATTCAATGTTTAAGAGATGAGAATTCGTCCGTAACAGCCACCGCGATTGACAACCTGCTTGAAATATGCATATTGTTGCAAGAACACGCGGTTGAAATCTTATGTGTGGCATTTTCGCTTGGCATCAAATCTTGCCTTAATACAAACAATCAAATACGTAAAGTTATGCAAACATTAGTAATTCAGCTTGGATATTAATTTTTTTAATTTCTTTAAAATATTACTTATGTGGAAATATGTTAATAGATCCTTATATAATTCATTTATATGGAAATTATCATACTGAGTACGGAAATGTAATAAAAATAATGTTTAGACTTTAAGTATTAGAGTTTACGCTTTAAAATATATGTAAATTGTTTAAGACAAGCAACATGAATGCGTGATTTTTTTTCTGATCATTTAAAAATGGATACGGGGGTGGACAAAACTGCAAAATAGAGCAATTTAATCTAACTTACCGTATTAAAGACTGTTTCAGAGTAATGTACGTCAGTAGAGAAAGTCGGAAAAGTCCTCATTTTTAATTTCCACAGGTGAGTCAAGCAATATAAACTAGGGTTGACTCTCAAGACTTCAATCCATATTCTTGTTTTGCAATTCGTATTAGTATATATCGATTCATACGCAAAAGAGTATAGCGTTATTTTGGGACGCAACAAGCTAATCGGATCGCAAAACGCATGCAAATGCTATCGAAAATATCGGCGCACGACGATATCGTTAGTTCGTGATGCAACAAGCGAATCGGATTGCAAACGCATGCAAATGTTATCGAAAATATCGGCGTGCCACGATATCTCGATAGCAAAATTAATATTTTCTCTAATTTGAATAAGGGATTAATGGAGGGAAAATTTCTTCTTTAATTTACTGTTATACGATTATATCTTATTTTAGTTAAGTTATCTCTCTCTATGTACGATGATCATATGCAAAATTTGCACATCTCAAACCTTGGGAATAATATTGATTTATCTTCGTTCAGTAAATTTCATCAAGTTTTATTGACCTGCGTTTTGCGTAGGTTGATTCGAAGTCAAGGTTATTGACCAAATGCAAAATACAAAATAAAAAATAAAAAAAATAAACAATTCTTAAAAATATTCATAAAGATATGCATACAAATTTGGGGCAGAAACATTTTTACATTTCAGTGTTTGTTTGCCAGTCTCGCTGTCTCTTTGTCCGTCTGTTATACAAAACTTATATAAAACACATTATTATCAAACCAAAACAAACGATTTGATTTGTTTGCTAAAAACTAACAAAATACGGGTACTCATGCATTCATTTTTTAACAAGTAAAATATTTATTTTAACATATAAATATATATAATTATAAAACAAAATAAATATTTAAATAAAAATAAAATAATTTGTTTAAGCTAACCAATTCTGAATTGTAATATATAATTTATTATATAAATAATTTTAGTTCAAATCTTGAGTCACCCTAATGTCCAAACATTCATATGTAACTCGATCATTGCATTCTTCTGTGTCTTAGGAGCTGCCACCTGTGTACATTACCTTTAGTAAGCAAATATTCAGTTTTTATTGGTCTCTTCTAAATTTTATTGGTGTTTTCAGTGTAATATTATTTAAATACATATTATAAATTTAGAAAAGAAAAGAAATCTAATTGAGTTGAAAGTAAAAAGAGAGGTAACTTTCATTCATGGTCATTTACAAAGTGTGAATTACTTTTACTCAATTATCAACTCTAAACCCGATTTATTCGTTTATAATCTAACTATTCAATGAAAACAAGTGTTTTATGTGCAAATTTTAATTCATTTTGGTTTATTTACCTGCATTCACACATATGTAGATACATAAATACATACGTTGCTTACCACCAATTGAACCATGCACACACACACACATCGATCCACCCATGTACACACACGCATACACACGTACGTTTGTTATTCTCTGTAATGTGTGCGCACATATATAGTATATATACATTCACTTATGTATTTTGCCACTTAGGTAATATTATGTTGCAAACGATTTTGCTTTCTAGCTTAGAGCAAGTGTAAATTAATTTATAATATTAATTATAATTAAATATATGAAATATGAAAGTGAAGTTGACGTCTTCCATAATTGTTTCCGTGTTAATTAAAAAATAAAATAAAATGCCCGCAAAATTAAATTTTGTGTGTTTTGAAAATGTGATAAACTGTGTCTGATAAATAGATACCCTGTACTAAAAATTGTTTCATTCGGTATTTTGTTTATTTCAAAGCAATTAATACGATAATGTAACGTCCAAATCTGTGCTTGCACCAAAACCGAAGAGTTTATTGTGTATGTTATATTATTGTCAATTAAATGTTACAACATTTTTGTGGGAAATATAAAAAGCTACAAAAATTCGGAAGCTTCAAGGAATTTCTGGAATTTGCATATAAAATTTTATGTGTTTAGCTTTTGTGTATTCGAAGCTATGTCTAAAAAACATGACAAATGATCGATTTTTATCGATAATAAGATATCGGTAGCAAATAATGGTAATCTGTGCGTGTGAGGTCTCTGTTAATTTCGAATTTCAAGTTTTTGTTACTCGTTTGGCCGAACAGTCTTAAAGTGAGTTATAATGAGGCGTGCCAGAGGTTTGCCTCAACAATTATATGACGCCAGCTTTACAATTGTGGAATACGGTTTGCAACTAGCCATGCCTTAAGTACCACCCGCATTGTTTGGCTTAAAATCAGGTTTTGTGAAGGTTGTCTATTATTTCTAGCCTTAGGAAAAACGTATATTTCTTTGTTATTAAAAATAACAGCTACTTAAAAGATTATAAAAAGTGGACTAAGAACGTGTGCATGGATTTACGCTTGGCTTTCAAATACAAAATAAATAACTTTGTTAGTTTTCTACTTCCAAACTCCAAATTCTATTCGATCTTCTACCATCATCTTATCATCAAAAATATGCTGTAGGGAAATATCTTTTGGAGATCCACATAATAGAATGTAGTATCATTAATGTCATCGTAAATAATAACAGGAAAAAACTATATTATCAAATTGCAGTGGACCGAAAAGGCCCTAGGCAAGAGAAAATCAGGAAATAAACTTTTTCTGATCAGGATTTTCGGTCTTCTTAATGGAAATGTTGGTGCATGGATGCAGTAATAGATCCTTTCACCCGTATGTAATAGAATGTACAATCGATTATAAAGGCAAAGTTTGCGGATCACTGATAACAAGAGATTTCGTTAGGTCTTTTCATCTTCCTCTGAGGCCTTACAGAATAAAGAAATTTCTGTTTTAAATTAAGTTGATATAATTTATTATATATTCACCACACATAGTATATATATTTAAGGCATTCTTAAACAATTGGCATATGGTTTCTTAAAAAGGATATACAGGTTTTTGGCAAATTCTAAAATATTTATATATTTAATAGATATATTTAAAAGTAATAAATTCAAAGTAATAAGTTTAGAAGTTTATAGTACAGATTTTAGTTGACGTCTTATGAAACTTTTTCAGATACGACCATTAACCAATGAGCCGCGTCCTAGCGGAGTAAATGCATCAAAATGACGTATCTTTTATTTCTTATTTTGCTTGCGAACTATGGTAAGTAATTTGTTTCATATTTGTGGGCAGAATTAATATTTATAATGAAATTAATTTCTGTTACAGCTGCCTGTTCTGATGTTCCAAAATTAACACAAACTGTTTATGGCTTCTTGGATTTTACAACAACTATTGGCAATACTGTTATGGTCTTCTCGCCGCAAAGCTCTCCTGTACTCGGTAAGTTTGTCAGGAATCTAAGTTCCTAAAAAAGAACTGAAAGTTGAATAGGAAATGGCTCTAAATACCAATCCATAAATACAAATAGATCAGAAGAAGCAAGAAGATTTCATATATTTCCCATGCAATTCCATTTCAGATTTGACACCTCAGAAACCTGCGAAGCCTGTGGATATTATTGACACCAAGCCACATGTGCCGGAAACTAAAGACAGTAAAAATGGCATAAGTCCAACTCCGCTATTGAGCTCAAGTCTAAATGAACAACCGACAGCGAATTCTACGATTGCTATAAGCAGTCACATAAGTTTGCTGAATACGCCAATCAAGTCAGTTGATTTCTCAGAGTATGCTTTGCTTTCGCGGCAGCCAGAGGAGTTCGCCGAAGAAACATTTCGCCTGGTTAATTTGAATACACGTGCCGATCATTCCAAGCGCAACAACAATTATGGCAGCTCAACGGGCTTGCTGCAAAGGAAAAAGGATAGCCTAAGTCGAAACTCAAATACCCCATCAAAGGAAACGGCAATCATAACTGCCAAAACTTTGGGCAAAACTTCACAAATTTATCAGCCAATTTCGAGCACTGAGCGAAGAAGCAAACCTCGCCACACTTCGACAACTTCAGCTCGAGTACTGAAGACTGTGACGCCATCTCTGCCAAATTACAAGACGCCCGTCGAATCTAACCACGTGCCGACGAAGAGTACTCGTAAAAATAGTCGGGTTTCAGGAGAAAAAAGAAAATTATCAAGAAACAAGGGCAAGAGGTAAAATTATATATATATTATATGAAAATATCATATATTGTATATAATTATATTATCATAGGATCTTCGTTACATTTTATATTTTTACTAACAGCAGTTTCTTGTATTCTTTTCAGGCGGAATAAATCGACGCAGTCGTCTGTAATTCAGGTCACACCGTCCCAGGTGGAGACAAGTTCTCGTCGCTCATATAGAACCAAAACGAATCTGATTTCTGAAGATAATAACGTAACAAATTTCAGTCCGAGTACATTGAAGCTGAATCGTCGTCCAGGCCGATGGCAATATAAAACATCTCCAAAGCCAAAAGTGAATATCAGAAAAAGCTCTCCGAATATGGCCAGAAGTGAACTACAAACAGAGGCTCTCAAAGAAATTGATCCGCTCGTGGAACCAGTTGAGAACAACCCGCAAATTCAAAAGACCATTGACCTCAACAGAGATTTGGATGCTGTTGGCTCACAAAACACAATTGTGCCCGACAACGATGTGATAAAGCCCAATAATTTCGTGCAAACTTTAAATGTCGAAATCTCAACTCCGAGCAACTTTGAAGATACCTACTATGAAATTGCCACCATCAAAAGTCCATACGTTTTTCAGGAAAGTATACGCTTTCTATTAATATATAATTAGATATAAATATATGTCAGTAAGGCGAATGAAAATATTCTCTAGTATTTTAAATAGTTTTTCTATAAACCTTATAAAAACATATAAATTTATTTATCTTTATATCTTTTGTTATATTTGTATACCCAATTAATTAAGAATTTTGTTTACCTTTTTTTTCTACAGGCTGGGCTTGTGAAAAAAACACG